GGGCTCGCTGCCAGACTGGGAGCCGATGCGCCGAGGCGCCGCGGAGCTTTGCTTGGGCTCTGGTGTGGGCAGCGCTTCCATCTGTGACTCGGACGTACCTGTGTCACACCATCACAGCGTGCCGTGCTACAGGGTCTGGATGCAGCTACAAGGAGGGTTTGAGCTGTAGAAGTTAATTCAGCAAAGCCAGGTACCACAGGCTGCTGTCCCAGCACAAGCAAGGGTGCCTGTGTGTTCAATGCAGGGGATTCGGATGGCACACACCAGAAAGGAGCCACCGGTTGGGATAAACCTCGGGAGGTGTTTGGAGAGTGTGACCTGTAAGGGACAGAAGGACTGGATTCCTTTTAGAGAAGAGAAACAGAAGTTTCACATCTATTAACACCTGCATATATCTCTCAGGTCTGTCCTGGTACAAGAGGATGTTCAGCCTTTCCTGCCTTCCTCCCTGTAGATAAGAAGTAAGGGATCCTTAGTGGAGGTACTGGGGAGGAAACTCCTCAACAACAGGTTAGTGGCACAGGGGCAGTTTTTGTGAGGAGCTGGCTGAGCCTCCTCTGAGCAGAGGGTGAAGATGTCAGAGCAAGAGGTGCAGCTCACCTGACCTGGATCATCAGATACACTTGATCTGCACTGAGAAGGGTGGAGATATGGGTTAGCTGCCCTCTTGAGCTGCCTTTTAGCCCTCAGGATTTAAGAAATACTTTAGTAATTGCTTCATAATATTTTAAAGCCTGGCTTTGGCTGGCAGCCTTGCCTGGCACCCTTCATATAACTTGATCTTCTAAACAAACCTCCAAATGTCACAAGTGAGCACATGAAGCAAGGCTGGCTGTGCCCTTGCCTTGCTCCACAGAGGCCACGGTAAGCTGAAAGCTGCAAAATAAGCCTGAGAAGCAGGCAAGAGCCCCAATCCATCTTAGCTCCTGAGAACTGGGTAAGGCCTGAAGAATCCTGTGTAGCTTGCGGTGGCTTTGTTGTTTGTCCCAAGAGATGTGTGGTTGTTTGTGGCTTGGTCAGTTGTCCTGTTTTGCTTTCTCTGATCAGGGTGAGACTGGGGATGGCAGCCCATCTCCAGCTGCAGAGGGACGCTGAGGTGGCTGGGGCTGCCCTTCCCTCATTGTGTGCCTCCAGAGAGCCCAGCAGATGCCGGAGTGCTCGGGGTGGTGCCGCTGGTTCAGTCACAACAAGCGGACCTCCTGGCTGTGCTGTGCTGCAGCTGACACGGTGGCTTGCCTGGTGAATCATAAGTAAATGCTGCTGAGAGCTGAGCTTTTTGCAGACAGCGCAGCATTAGCCCCACTCCTTGGACAAGCTCCAGCTTGGGCGATTCCACTCGGACACTTTAAATGCTCCCTGTCATCTTTGCCAGGCGCAAGACTCTGCTCTTCTGCCTGTGAGCTCTTGGAGACTTGTTGGGAGCTGTAAAACAGCTGCTACTTTCACTCTCTGTTTGTTTTCTGGCTGGATGTAGGGGATTTGTCTGTAGAGCCTGACTGTGGGACTGTGAAAGAGGCTCTGTTAACGCTAAGCAATGATTTGCCAATAAAGGTTGGCTTTATTTTTCCCGTCAACCCCTCAATTCTGATGGCTACCAAGGGCTGATGTTGGACACAGGTGAACTAATATTGGTTTTGGAGTCTTAACAATTACCAGCTTAACTACAGTGATGGTTCTTAAGGATACAGCTATAATTAAGTTGAGCTGTCTTGTTTATTGAGCATTCAGCTTCCAACCTTGGTTGTGGGATTGAACTTTGGGCCTTTCTTAGGATTACTGTCCATCTCCTCTGGCAAAGAGCATTGGGAAACGGCGCCTTTGCTCCTCTCCTCACTACCAGAGCCCATGTGCACAGGTACAGCGTTGTTCTCTCTCCCTCACAGAGGCTGCTGAGCTGTCATGGGGAACACCACCAGCGAGCGAGTATCCGGGGAGCGCCATGGCTCCAAGTCCCACCGCTCGGACGGCTCCGGTGCTTCCCACCCCACCAAGGAGCACCCCCACAAGATCATGGTGGGCAGCACCGATGACCCCAGCGTTTTCAGCTCCCATGACTCCAAGGTAGGGGCTGGCCGCTCCCTTCCCTGCCTCCGCTCTGCAGCTTCAGCTCACTGGCTCTGGGGGGCTGCGCTCCCAGCCTTGAGAGGGGTTTGTGGGGAGCTGGGAGGCTGGAGGAGCTCTGCAGTGCTCCTGTCTGGGATGTGAAGGTGTCGTGGTAGAAGCCAGGGGGAACTGAATGTGTTCATGGTTGTCTTCATGTCTTAGGCTCTGGTTTTCTTTGCTCAGATTCCTGGGGACAAGGAGTTTGTGTCGTGGCAGCCAGATCTAGAGGAGTCAGTGAAACCATCCCAACAGGCTCGACCAACTGTCATCCGCTGGGCCGATGGAGGCAAAGAGGTTTTCATCTCTGGATCCTTCAACAACTGGAGCACTAAGATCCCACTCATCAAGAGGTAGCCAGTCCTTCAGGTCACTCTATGTTCTCCTCTGCTCCATTGCAAGGAATGTTTTTTCCCTTCTCTGTGCTGGTCGCTGTTCCCTTTGCTCACCTGGCTTTTCCTGTTCATCCAAGCTGGGAGTCTGAGCACAAATACATAGTCAGCTCCTTCCCTGATGGTCCTGCAGGGACTGTGGGAAGTTGTGAAACAGAGGGACAGGACAGGATAGGCCACTGTGCTTGCCCAGCTATATGGCATGCAGGAGCCAGTCCTGGCAGCAGAGCCCTGCCCAAGTATGCAGCAGCCCTCTGGAAGCTGCCAGCTCTTCCCTTGGCTGTGGCTTTACCCCATGCCTATTTGTATTGCTGTCAGTGGGGGTTGGTTGGTTGTCCTTCACACGTCTTGCTGTTCTGCAGCACGTCTGTGATTTACATGAAAGCTCTGTGTAGGACTTTTAGTAATTCTTCTGGAATTGCAGACTTCACAAACACAGCTGCCTCACTTGCTCCCGTCCTACCATGCCGGCACAGGGCCAGGAGCTTTGCCCATGCATCCTCTCCAGTGTTTCTTGCACAGGGTGTCTGTCACGTCCACTTTCTCTGGGCTTGGAGGGCTGGACTGCCTCCTGCTCTCCTTGCAGCTGGGCTCCCAGGGCTTTGAGCCATGCTAGTGCTTGGAATGCTCGTGCCTGTTGTGGCCATGCCTCAGGTCATTGACGATGAGCAAGCCTAACCCTACATGAAGGTGTTAGGGTAGAGGGGCTGGGCAGTGCTGATTCCTGGGGCCCCATGGAAGTGCAGCTTCCAGAGCATCAACAGGGTGATGTTGTTGCACATTTTTTCTTTCTGCACAGCCACAACGACTTCGTTGCTATCCTGGATCTCCCAGAAGGAGAGCACCAGTACAAATTTTTTGTGGATGGCCAGTGGGTCCATGACCCATCTGAGGTAATGTTCAATGCTTTATCCCTGCAGATCTTGTCTTCTTCAGGGAACTAGACAGGATGCAACTGCAACAGAGAGGGAACAGGAAGGAAAGGAGGTCGTCTGCCAAAACAAAAGGGGCACCTCCCTCCCCTGAGTCCTTTCAGAGGCTGGTTCCTCTGGACTTAGTCATGCTTTATGGGGAAGCATTGGGGAGGGGCAGGGAAATGCTAGAAGGGCTTTAAATCCCATTGAGAATTTGTCTACAGGGGAAGATGGGTGATGGGGTCATCACTCACTTGCAGGTTCTCCAAACTGGATCATGCGGTAGCAGCATGGGAAGGAGAACACACCCGTGTAACAGGATGGAGGATGAAAATAGGAGGTGATGTAGGAGCCTAGGAGCAAAGGGAAATCCTCCCAGGATAAACAAGCGTAGAGCAGAGATAGACACCAGCCACCTGTGCTCTGAGGTAGTGGTGCAGCAAAGACAGCTTGGGCTGGGAGGATCTGGGAAGCATTAAGTGTGCTTCATTTGGAGGTGAACACAGGAAGATTCTTACCTCAGTTCTCTCCAGCCCGTGGTCACCAGCCAGATGGGGACGATTAACAACCTAATCCACGTCAAGAAGTCTGACTTTGAGGTGTTTGATGCATTGAAGGTGGATTCCCTGGAGAGCTCAGAAACCTCAGGTCGGGGTGAGTTTTGTGGCATTACAGCTTTGCATGTGCTATTTTCCACCTCCTCTGCTTTGAGACTCGCTGCTCTGGGGTGAACAGACCCCCCGAGCGGAGGTGTGGGCCTGCACTCAGTATGAGTAGTGTTTGGCAGCAGCCCACGGCTGAGGCCTCGTTTCTCTGGAGGGGCTGTGCTGGTGTAACTTGTTCTGTGCTAGCGCCGGAGCAGAGCCAGTGCCTGTGCGCGGCTGAGGGAGCCGTTTTGGACTGGTGAACGCTGGGAACATCAGCCCTTTCTGTCTGAGCAACTGTAAGTCATCTGATCCGAGGTACAAGCTAGGTGAGAGCAGGATCCAGGTTATTTTCAGCAGCTACTCTTGGTTTACATGCCAAGGTAATTTGTACTAGTGGTAGCACATTGCAGACCTCCCCCTCTGCTTGTGTTACAGCAGCAGGTTAGGTTACCACGCAGGCACCAGCAGTGTTGGCTTGGCGTGTAATGCTGGCAGGCAGCTCAGTCGTGTGTTGGTCCCTGGTACGACCCCATCTCAGATACAGCTCAGCTCCGTGTCCTTTCACAGCCTGGGCAAGAGGCACTTTGCTGGAGAGAAGCCAGCAGGCAGCAGCGGCTCAGAGAGGTGGAGCCCTTCTGGGTGCTGGCTGTTCCAAAATTATCAGATCAGATATATCTGGGAGATGGGGCCAGTCCAGCTTCCAGTGATCAAAAGCTCCTGTGGTCCCTCCCATGTGTGGAGCAGCTGTTCAGTCTAGAGTTCCCATTTGCTTTTCCTGGACCCCCTCATCAGGCAGTCCTGCAGTACCAAGAGCATGCAGGCAAACTGATCCCTGTGTCCCTGCTGCCAAGGGTACAGCCCTGGGGCAAGCCAGCTGCTTCCTGTGGGAGAGGGACCTGGCTGTGCCGAGAACACGTGCAGGGTTCTTGTGGTGGATACCCCGGGGTGCTTGTGTTGTGTCAGTGCATGTACCAGCTTAAAGCCCTGCTTGGAAATGCCCCGGGCTCACCTGGCTGCTTTTTCTGCTGTGAAAAGGCTGAACTGTTGCTAAAGGATAGATACCTGGCCATAGCTCATGGAAGATACTTGTGCCTGAAAGATCCTACTGGGTCCTTCTCAGCTTCTGGGATACTGTTCTGTGCTCTCCCATCCTGCTTTACCCATTTCATGTCTCCTCCTTTCTCTTCTCTTCTCTTCAGACTTATCAAGCTCACCACCTGGACCTTACGGCCAAGAGATGTACGTATACCGGCCCGAGGAGCGCTTCAAATCCCCACCCATCCTCCCACCTCATCTCCTCCAGGTCATCCTGAACAAGGACACCAATATCTCGGTGTGTACCAGCATTCTGCCCACACAGAAAGCCACACTGGGGGTGAGAGGGGAGTCCTGTCTGCAGGGAGCCTGATCTCCCCTTGGCTGAGGCCTGGCCCTTGCCGTTTCCTAGGAAAAGCATCACTTTTCCCATTAGCCACACTGATTTGGCCTCCTGGTGCTTAGCTGAGCTCTGTTCCTGTTCAGACACCAGCAAGCTCAAACTGCCTGAGGCAGCAGCTCCCTGTGCTGGCTAGGGCTGGGAGATCAGGGCTCTGCTGTTCCCTTGTGACACTTCTCTCCTCCTAGTGCGACCCAGCACTGCTGCCCGAACCCAACCACGTCATGCTCAATCACCTCTACGCGCTCTCCATCAAGGTAAGCGCAGGTCCCACTTGGCTGCTGGGTGAGGGAATGGGAGCTGCTGTAGCTTCCGGGAGCCTGCAGCACCTGCAGGGAGCAGAACCCGGACAGCTAGGGGGTGGAGATGGGACCAGAGGACCCACTAAAGACAGCATTGGCTGCCCACTGAAGTTTGGCACATGCAGGGGTGGAGGTTGTGGCTTCCTTACAATTCCCTTCAGCTGCCTCCCTGCACCGTGGTGGAGCTGAGCAGCCCCACACCAGATCCTTTGCCCTGGCATCCTGTATTGGATGTGTTTCACAGGCTGTGAGACTTGGGACAACAGGGATGGGCTGGGGCAGCTCCCTGAGCCCCCAGAGCCCTCCTCCCAAGGGCTGCCCTGGGAGTGCCGCAGTGCCCCTGCTGACGCTGTGCCTCTCGCAGGACGGCGTGATGGTGCTCAGTGCCACGCACCGCTACAAGAAGAAGTACGTCACCACGCTGCTGTACAAGCCCATCTGAGCCAGAGCCTCGCCCACCCCCCACGCAGGACACGAAACGCCGCTTTGTCTGCACACACTGGGCCACAGGACTGTGTGAGAACTAGGTGCTGGCTCCAGCCTCAAACCTGACAGGGACACAGGCCCTGGCAATGAGCCCAGGGCCGCTGGGGCCTGTGACACTGTCTCATCCTACTGGTGTGGTTCAATTTAGCCCTTGGTTTCCGCCCACCTGCAGCTCCCCTAGGCTTCTGTGAGTCTCTGGGACCACTTTGCTGCTCACCAGAACAGCCTTTCCTCACGCCCAACACGGAAAGGGCTTCACCCTGACTGTCTTCTCCAGCCTGCAAGGGCCTCAAGGTGATCCTAGCACTACCCCCAGCCCAGGCCTCCAGGAATGTGTCCTACCTGCTGAAGGTTGCTCTGGTGTCTTGGTCTTGAGTTTCCAAAGGCCACCTTGATCACTAGAGGCTCTGTGACACTCCAGCCTGCTACCTGCCCCCTGTCCCACAGCCCTGGCTGTGGGGCCGTCCCCCAGCTTTGAGAAGGGCTCTCAGCTCTGGAGCCCCAGCCCCCTGCCAGGTTCAGCGTCGAGCCAGCAGGGTGGAAGGTACAGCCGGACACAGCCACGCTTACCTGCTGCTGGGACAGCACCGTCGAGGACTGACTGCGACTGCTCTGTCCCCAACACTGAGTGCTTCTATGGGACAGGGTTGGCTTCATCATAGCCAGAGGGGCACTGGCACATGCCCACACTGAAGGGGCCTGGGGCGAGCAGAGCCGGGCAGGCACCCCAGGACCCTGGCTGCACCGCCTGCTGCCGCAGCAGTGCCATGGGACAGGCATTTCTCTATTTATTACAGTATTTATTGTTCTCGGTGCTGCTTGCCTGGTGTTGGAGGGGGGCTCTGAAACAGCAAGAGGAGGAAAGGCAGCACCCAGTAGGGCACAGAGCTGCCCTAGGGGTGCTGGGGTGGGGCACAGAGCCACCCCCTTGGGGCCAGCTGGTGCCTTTGGCACCCTGTGCTGGGGGTGGGTTGGGGAGGGGGAACACTGCTGCAGAGACAGGCGGGCCAGAAACACCACAACCCAAAGGTAACCTTTATTGGGGACTCTTCAGCCACTGAACAGAATATGGCATTTCTTACATCTTCCTCCCGCGCTGGGGCCCCAACATGCCTGGGAAGCCCCCAAAACGCAGTTCTGATACCTCTGTCTATATACATATACATACATCCATGAGCAGGGGTGGGTGCTCAGCAGGGTTACAGGTGGGACCAGGTCCCAGGGCGAGGGGTGCTCAGTGTGGAGGGCTCTGTCACCCCACTGAGCACCAAGGGTGGAAGGGGGTGAGCACTGAAGCATGGGGCAGGCAAAGTCCAAGCCAGCAGCTGCTGCTGCAATGCCAAGCAAAGGCTGGTGAAGGGCATGCAACCACCACAGCAGCCCAAACCCACTAATAGTGTAGCACACCCCAGCCCCCTGTCCACCCCAGCCCTCCAAGTAGCAGGGACAGGGTCTGCTCCAGCCCTCTGGCATGGCACGACTCAGCAGCCAGCAGGCTGTTCCATGGCGGCCCATCGCTCCCTGCCCTGCCTAGGGCTCAGGAGACAGGCAGGGCCTGCTGGGCCTTCACCTGGCAAGAGACCACACATGGCAGTAAGAGGGAGAGTTGCTGTGCCCTGGGGACATGGACACATAGGCTGCAGATAGACAACAAAAATGTGTGGCCCCCCCCAACACACTACTGCACCCAGCCGGCCCTCAGCATCCCCTGTCAGCCACCACAGGGTGTGTGTCACCTGTGCCCATCCCCAGGCCATCAGGGCTCACTAGGGTAGAGATACCCATCCCTATCCCACACTGGCTGCCAGGGCAAACTCACCTCCAGGTTCGTTCTGGCCTTGCGCAGCACGCTGTGGGTCCTGGTCACTACAGGGGAGAGAGAGAGATGGGGTCAGTGAGGCCCTCGTGCTGTGGAACCACCCCAGGTACTTTGGGGACCAGGCCAGCTTGGCCGTGCCACTGGGGCCACGTACGGTGGCTGACGATGAAGTGCTCCATGCTGTCCTTGAGCTGTGCTGTGCTGCGCAGCCGCTTGGCCGTGCTCTGCAGAGCATCCTCCCTCTCAGAGAGCCGGGCCCGCAGCACTGCAATCTCACCCTGTAGTGCCTGCTCCTGGGAGCATGGAGAGGAGAGGAGTGTCATGAGCAGTGAGCACCTAGCCCCGGTGCCCTGCCAGTCCCCAGGCCCTGCTCACTTTGCCCTGGTGCTGGGTGAGGTTGACAGGCAGCATGGTGCTCCAGAAGGCAGTGAGGAGAGACACACACTCTTCCAGGATGCTGTGCAGGGTGCTGGCGCTGCCCCACAGGTGCCCCTGCCCTGTCCCTGCCCATCCCAGAGCCTGTGGGAGAAGGGTGCGGGAGCAGGTGCTGCTGGGGCACCCACATCCCGCTACACCTGGGGACTTGCCGTGCCCAGCCCAGTGTGGCAGGACAGTGCCAGCAGCAGCCCCCAGGCTGGAGGCTCCCTGCCTCCTGCCAGCCCTGCAGGCCTCAGGGCTGATTCTGGGCTCAGGAGCCGTGTCACACATGGTGCACAAAGGTCTGGTCCCCGGGTGCTGCCAGCCCCGTCCTGCCCACACTTTACCTCCTTTCCTGCGAGCTGGCAGTTGGGCAGTCCAAGCGCCGGGCGCGTGAGACACATCAGCTCACGGGCCAGGGCCTTCCCCTCCACGATGTGCTGCTCCAGGGCTTGATATGTGTCCAGGCGGCCGACAACATGAGCCCCCGTCAGTCCCTCGCTCTTCCTCACCAGTGGGTCTGTCTCTTGTGGCTCTGTGGAACAAGCAGGGATAGGTGAGGAACCCTGCCTGCTCCCCTCGTGGTCCTCCTCATCCCATCCTGGGGGCTTGGCTCTGCCCTGAGCTCTCCAGTCTTGCTCAGCAAGAGTGCTGCCATGAGTTTGTCAGGTCTCAGCAGCTCCTAAGCTCCTAAGACCTGTGTGTGGTCAGGCTCTGGTACCCACCGTCCATCCGCTGGACCACCACCGTGTCAGAGGGCAGCGGGGAGAAGAGGGGAGCTGCTGAGTTTGTGCCAACATCCCGCACTGGAGGAGATGGGAAGCAGCCTAGAACAAGAAGCATCTGAGCCCCTGTGGACATCTGTGGCTCTGTGCCAGGGGCTGCTGGGGTCCTGCCCTCCCTCTCTGCCTGCCAGCAAGGCCACCATGTCCCACCTGCTGCCACAACAGGAGAGATGTTTAGAACCACCCAAGGGTTGCAGAGGGGCGAGGCACCCCAAGACCAGGGGCTGAGGGGGCTGGGCACGGGTCCTGTACCTGCTCGTGTCTCAGCAGAGGGGACAGGGAGGCTCTCGTAGATGTGCAGCTCCGCACGCAGGGTCTGCAGGAGCAGGCGCTGCTCCTCACTCTGCTGCTGCAGGAGTGTCACTGAGTGCTGCAGCCTGCAGAGGGGTAACACGTGGGACTGGTGCCCACCCAGTCCTGTGGCCCCAAGGTCACAGTGCCCCAAACCTTACCTGTTGTTGTCCTCCTGCAGAGAGAGCCGCTCGTCCCGGAGCTGCCGGACACTCTCTTGGCACTCAGCGAGCTCTTCTGCCAGCCTCCGCTGCTTCCCACGCCTCTGGCCCAGCTCTGCTTCAGCCTCCCGTACCCGGGAGCAGGCAGACAGGAGTGCCTTCTGCACCCGCACCAGCTCTGCTTGACAGAGACCATGGAGGTGTCACCGCCACCCCACTCAGCCCCCTGGGACTGAGACCCAGTATGCTGCTGGCCCAGCCCTACCTTGGGAGAGGTGGTCACGCTGGAGCCGCACGGTCCGGTTTTCCTCACGCAGAGCCTGGTTCTCCCCGCTCAGCTGCAGCCCCAGCTCCGGTGTCTGGGCATAGACATCACTGGGCAATCCTACAGAGGGGACCAGTGCTGAGTCACTCTCCCCAGTGCCCCACTGTACACAGGGTGAGCACCATCCCTGTGCAACAGGGTGTGCAGAGCCTGGGACCCCGGCAGCCCTGGCCCAGTGCAGCCCCGTACCGCTGGCCTTGCTGGTGGAGGCCAGGCGGCGTTCCAGCTGCTCCCGGAGCCGGTCGTTGGTGCAGATGGACTCCTCGAGGCGCTGGCGCAGGCTGCGGATCTCCACCAAGTGTTCCTCCAGCAGGTCTGCCCCTGCCACAGCCAAGGAGAGGGCTCAGGGCAGGAAAGGCAATGCCATCTGCCTCATGCCATCCCCACTATCCTGCCCCATGCCAGAGTCATGTCCCACAGTCATTCTGGTGCCAGATCTCCTCCCTGTTCCCCCACACGCACGTAGGATGCCCCTGTGGTCTCCAACATGGACCATACCTGTTAGCTTCTGGCTGGAAGTGCACCCCAATGGCAGGGCCCCATAAGGTGTCTGGCCAGGTGGGGGTACGTCCCAGAGGACACGGGCTGAGGTGGCCCCGGGGAGCTCAGCCAGGCTCTGCAGTGCACTGTGCTGGCAGAACGATGCCGGGGCTTTGCTGCCCTCTCCAAAGGGGCCCAGTGGGACCATAGGCTTTGCTGGTGCCACGGGCAGTGCCACACCTCCACACACAGGGCAAATCAGGGAGGAGAAGGACAATGAGCAGGGACAAAAAATGGGGCAACACACTCCATCATGTGCTTTTTGCCCCCTTCTTGCTCTGCCCAACAGTGCAGCCCAGTGTTCCCCCACAGTGATCCCCCATCACTTGACCTCCCACCCTGATCAAACCCACTCCTGCTGAAGAGCAGTTTCTCCCAGAGCTTGCTGATTATGTGACACAAGTTGGAGGGTCTCAGCCCCACTCCTACAGAACAACTAGCTAAACCACCCTTTCCCAAAGGCCCTGGGATACCCAAGTGCCCACACCAAGGGCTAGTGTTGCCTCCAGCTGTGTCCATTCCACCCACCAAGACCTCTCTGCACAAGAGCTACATGTCCCCATCATCCGTCAGCCAGAGAGATGGGACCCAACCTCAAAACCATAGCCCCAAGAAGCAGAAGGTCCAGGGCAGGACAGGCAGGTCAGAGAGGGTGGTAGGGGATGAGGCACAGCACAGCATGCAGGGCAGGCAGGACCAAACCCAAGCCAGAGTCAGCGTGCTCACTTTCTCCCAGTTGCCTCTGGAGCACCTGCAGTTCCTGTTGTGCCTCAGCCAGGGAGCAGACAGAGGTCCCACAGCAACCCAGGAATGGTGGGGCCGTGGGAGGGGGGGGCCCAGCAGACAAGAAGGGGGACAGCCCAGGGGCCAGTGCAGGCAAGGGGGCACTAACAGGTTTGGACAAGGAGTCCAAGTGATGGCCTAGAGATAGGAGAGAGAGATGTTAGCGTGGCTCTGGCTCAGCCTAGCAAAGATCCCTTCTCCCTGGGGGCACTGGGGACCCTGGCACATCCCAAGCAGCCAAGTCCACATGTCCAGAGGTGGTTGTGGCCCCTGGTCACCCTGCAGTACCTGTGAGTTGGGCAGGCTCCTCATGGCACTGACTGCACTCGCTGGCTTCATCCCCATCAGAGCAGGGCTCCAGCCCCTCAGATGTGAAGGAGGAGCTCGTGGCAGAGTGGGATGACTCGGAGGGTGGGCAGCTGCTACCTGGGGACTCAGAGCGGTCCTGCAGCTTCCCCTCCAGGCTCTCAATCACCTTCTCCTTCTCCTGGAGCTTCTGGCTGAGCCTGTAGGGGTAGCCTGTCACCTGGGCTGGCAGGTCAGGGTGACCTCCATCCCACAGCTCTTTCTTACATGACACCCCACACGGCATGTCCCACTTGTGATGCAAGGCTGCTCGGAGACATGGAGCACCCATAGGGGTCCCCAGCTGCAGAGGTAGCCCCAGGATCTGTGCCTGAAGCAGAGATATTGA